ACTTGGACCGGTGGTCTGGCGTCCTGAGTGCCGGCGGGTGCTTCTTACTGTGAGTGGGGGTGAAAGTGCACAGCAGCTTGGGCTTCAGCCGACCAGAGCCATGTGGTTGGTGCTGCCTCTCCGTGCTGCCCTCTGGGTCACCAACAGCCCCTTGCTCTCAGGGGTGCATGCCTCTGTCCCACAAGCATCCCCCTACAGACCTGCTGGTGTGTGACTGAACATTGAGCTCAGGGATTAGCTCACTTTCAGACCTGAAGGGTGACTGTGTTTGGGTGTTGGCGTGGGGGTGTTCACTCATTTCCAACCAAAAGCCTGGGCTTCTCTATGATCTTGAATTTGGTTCCACATTTTTCTCCCACTCTATCCAGGACCTTCTAATGTGAGACCAACTCTCAGAGAGTTGGTTGTGGTAGCTGGACACCATCAGGGTCCTGGGGGGAGTGGTGTCCCTGCGGTCCATCAGGCCCTGGGCCAGTGGTTTCCATGGGTGCTCGGTCTTCCTGACTCTTCTTTCCTCTCCGCATTGTGGGGGGGCGGGGGCGGGGAGGCGCAATAATGCACCTCCCTCCCTCCTCCTTTGGCTGTGTTTCTGTCAAAGGCACTAGGTGGCAGGAGAGCTGGTGGCTTGGGGTAGAACTGAATGGCGTCATCTGGTGCTTTCATAGAAACAAGGTGGATTCAGGACACCAAGCCTCCTTGTCTTCTCTTGTTGCGTCAAGACTTCCGAGCATGCCGCTCGGTGCTCTCCCTGACTGCGGGGACTCTTCCCAGCCGTGGCCTGACTGACGTCCCCGTCTGGCTGTCCTTCCGGTTGACAGGGATGTGGGGACATGAAGCACAAGTTGCTTGCCTATTTCACATTCCATGTGGTGTGGAAAGGGGACTACAGCAGCGTGCAGTGTGTCTGAGTGTAGAGGGGTGGCATTGGCATGGCACCCAGCACAGCTGGTCGTTCCTGCCCAAGCCCCCACTCCTTCCTGCTGCCCGTTAAGACAGGGCTCTTTCTCCAGAGCTCCTTGTGCTCCAGAGACCTGCTCTGTCAGGACCAGCTCCGTCCTCCCTGCACAGCGCAGCTTGCTCCTTCTCTGCAGCTGCTCACTGTCTTGGACCCTGGGCCTCCCCCCTCAGCACTCCATGTCCCTTGTCCTCATGACATCAGACATCATGGGTGCCACCTTCACAGTCCAGAGCCTGGCCAGCACCCCTCTGGATGTCCAGCTCACAGGATGAGAGTAGGATGTTCCGTACAAAGCCATCCTCCAGCCTCTCGGCTCGGGAGGCTGTCCTCCAGGGCTGGAGTGGAGTGGGTGGGTGGGTGAGGAAGTCCGTGGCTGGTGGCCCATGCTCCTCGGCTCTGTGGCTTCCCTCCTCCAGGGCCTCACATCCTCTGCCTCCTGCTGGAGGCTAGACGAGGGTCTGGAAGACTGCCCAGTGGTGGTCATGGTGACTTGTCGCAGCCCTTCCGGGGCCCTGGGGAACCACGGCTCCTGGTGGGATGGCCCATTCCCAACAAGGACTCTGTGCAGAGGGGCAAGAATCCTGGGGGTGGTTTGCTGTGTCTGATGGTGCACCCAGGCTAAGCACCTCAGAGTCATGGAGGAGGAAGTCGAGGGCTTCTGGGTAGGCTGGAGGGTGTCTCTGCAGCCTTTCCCAGACTTTTTAGGCCCCCTCAGCCCCCAGGAGTGAGCTGCTGCTGCTGCTCTCTGCAGAGGACAACTTCAGTCTCTCCTCGCCTCAAAACTGAACCTCCAACCTTGTCACCTGACGGAACCACTCTGGCAGACCAACTCTCCTGGGAACTAGGCTCTTTCCTGTACTTCCTGTTGCTGTGGTTAACGTACCAGGGCACCATTCACCAGGGATGTTCACAGCCTAGTGTCATCTGTAGCGTCTCCCTGTGGCCTCGTGAGAAAGCCC